CGAACCCCCCCCCCAAGGTTAAATGCTGCCGCCCCCTCTATGCAAAGCCCCACCCAGTGACATTGGCGGGCACAAGAGACTGACTGGTAACCTAGGTGGAATTTTCATATTAAATTCTCTGAAAAATTATCTGAGTGTGACATCTAATGTCGTCTATGTTTATGAGCACAAAGGTATATACTCATGTGACACGGAAGTGGGAATGTTCAAAAGGCGAGATTGTTCTATCTACAAGATCTGACAGAACGCAACGGACAAACGTATTGCAATACGTACTCCCATGCATGCAGCCTTATCTGAAAGTAGACTGATCGACCTCCGTGGACCATTATACGAGTGTAGATAACAAGTATGTTGCGAATTAATGTTGGCAAACTCATTTCTTCGGCAATTCATCAACGGTGCAGTGCAATGCAAGGACAAAAATTGTCAGTTATAGGTGGTAATCAGAGCTCACCGATTGCTAATGTGACGTACTCGTCCCCTACAGCGTCGGGGCTCACTCCCGAGCTCTACCAGCAGCCCCACAGCGGCTAGTAAAGTAGGCAGATGAGAATAAACTAGACATTTCTGGCTCACTAGCCCATAAACCAATCACACCCAGCCCTAGATTATGCACCATCGGAAGCTCGAGTTCGCACACGGCTTATACGAGGTCAAACACTAATCCTTAAATGCCATAACAAAGCATGCGCCAGCGATTCTTGATGCTCTCGTCACTCCGGAATTGACGCCCCGGCAGCCGGACTTCAGCCAGCCGAGAGTCAACACTATTTCCATATATGCTGCTATCCTTCTGTTGAATAAACTATTCCTAACAATCTGGCCTTCCAACCGTTCTCTCTCCTCACCTAAAGGAACCATGGGCCTGGAAGATTGTAGCTGTTAGGGTTAACCGCAATAGCCTTAACTTCTGTCGATACAACTGCTTTCGTCAAACGAAAATAAAATGGCTAAACTAAAACGCCGATTAACGGGAAAGCAACGAGCACCACAAAAGTTCGACAGTTTCACCGTATCCACCTGCAGACGCACAAACTAATGCATTCAGACGCATTAAAGCAGGCTGGTGGAAAAGCTACGCGAGATCAGATATACCCGCGACAAACTGTGTGTCAAATCACTATCCAAAGGCGCTTATAAGCCGATGCCTATGCGTTCAGTGTCGGAGGACCCAAACACCCTAATACATAGTCGGTGCGCTTCAGAAGCAACTAAGTGCATTGTTGTGGACTAGGTTTTAAAATTGCACACCCGCAGAGAGCTAAAATGAGCAGAGGGGTCATGAAAATGCAAGGAGTGCGCGAGGCTTGGCAGACGAAGGCAAGATTATTCAACGCAGTGGTGGTGATCACGGGCTGCTACAAAGTGACAATTATGTGAGCCACGAGTTGCTTCAATGAAAAGGATTTACATGCCCAAAGTCGCGTTTCCTCAATCCTTCCAAAGCGCCTATGGGGAAGAAACGTGTGTTTCGTGTTGGGCTTTACGTGTGGAATGAGAGCAAAGACTGGAGTTATCTGACCAACGCTGTCTGGGGACCACCCTTCGAGTGAAGTTCACCGTCTTTGTCCAAAGAGACAGTCCACGCTCTCTATGAGTGATACTCCAAACCGTCGAAGTAAGATGACTGAGACGGTTTGGACACGTCCTCCATCATTTGTCATACTGCCCTCGATCCGGCGCCACTGCTCACCTGCAGACGTCAAAGAGGAGGGTAACTCCAGATTTGGTCTCACGGAGTTCGTCAAGACGTGAAAGCGGTTCTTGGACCTCGGATATTCGGTCTTCCACGCTCGAGAAAGGCGTGCGTTGAGCTTAATCGGCACCATACTCTCGATTATAACTCCTTGAAGTCCGACTCCACCCAGCGGCCACAACCCCGGCTAAACCAGTAGAGAGTCTTCGATGCAATGTGTCCGCACACCCGGTATTTCCTTTCTCCCTACTTCCTCTCCCCTCCCACTACATTTTCAAAAGTCCTACAGAGGAGGCAACATGCTATTACGTAAGCAGTTCAGGCTAACTCAGATCGCTCTTCTACTTTACAAAACCATGATCAATATTAGAATTTGGCAGTTGTCTAAGGAGCATTAATTACGTACCTACGGAGGGCGGAGCCGGAAAATGCGCTGAGATCATGTCAACCGCGGCTGGCAGATGCAACACTCACGATCGAAACAAACAGCCCTCGTTCGCATCTATCTTGCCATACAGAACAGATGGCTAGGGTAGGTCTATCGTGATCTTTTATTGCCTTCCATATCCCGCGTCACGTCCCACATGAGGTCACGTGATTGCAGTTCTCGGCCTACCTCTAGGACAGCCGCTAGCACTTGCGCACTTGTAGACAGACCCCAATCCTCCTGGCCAATCTCCTTCAAGGCTGATTCACACAAAGGCCACTCTCATTGACGCTGTGATGATTGCCCAGCAGGGGGCACTCCGGGCAATGCCTCGATCAAGTGCGAACCTA